ATGCGCACGTCGGAGTAGACGTTGAAAGGTGGAACGGCGTGATTGGGAAAAACGGCCCTAGCGACCTCAACAATAATGGCATGAAGTAGTTGCGGCTTTGTGCAACAATGGATTGTCCATTATGAACACTTTCTTCGAGCATCGAAGAGTGCATCAGTACACCTGGTACCGGGAAGCTTCTGCAGAGAAGTCGATGATCGATTTCATAATCGTATCGTCTGACTTAAGACGCTCAATAATAGATGTTCGCGTTAAGAGGGACGTCGAACTGCCAACCGGACTCAACTTTGTTGTTGTCGCGCTGCGCTGTAAACAATGGAGCACCATAGGAAGATCTGGTGGCAGAAGCAAATGGGAAACATTATTTTCGGCGGACACGAGAGCGAAATTTGGAAACAACATCGCACGACGGTTTGAACAGATCCTGATGATGGCAACTGATGCGGAATCCGAGTAGCCGCTCTTTAACAGCGGCATACTCGAGGCTGCCGCCGAATGTTGCGAATTTAAACGGTTTGCCTTCTTCCTGAAGGTCAGAGAAGAGCTACCTGGTGGACATGAGAGGTACAACTGACAGTTAAAGGGTAAATAGAAGCGTTTAAGAAACGGCTAGGAAACAAACAGCCGTCTACTCGCGTGCGATATGTCGAAGCACGCAAGATGGCAGCGAAAGCCAAAGGTGATTCCTTGGAGAAGCTCGGTGACGTGTTCGAGTAGAGGTTTCAAATTGCAAACAAAGTTTTCTGACAGACCATTCGCCGGCTCTGAGGTAAAAAGAAGGGCAGTGTAAAAGTTTTGAAGCACAGGCCTGGACACCCTCTTACCGAGGATGAGAACATTCGTGGGCGGTGGAGAGAGAACTATGAGGAGCACTTAATCCTTGAAAAACTTCAGGAAGACTCGGCTGCAGTACAGCAGAGAACGTACATTAGGATAAGCTGTCATCGAAATCGACTGATTGCTATTTATAGGTAGAAGCAGTTAAAATTTTTCACAGAAACGACAGTTCTGTTTTACGTGTATTACTGTGCTTGTGAAGATGAAAGCAGGAGGTCGAGAAACTGGCATTTTACGAGGAGCCCCGGATGGTTTCACTACAGTTGTTCTGATTATAGATACAAAAATAGCTAACCGAAGACTTAGCCATTCTGCTTTTTTTTATTCTCTGCTTCGTCCGCGGCGCCTTTTGAGCAACAATGTTTTTGAATTGCTTCTGCACAAGGACACTTTTCCTCGCTTCAAGGAACGCGAAATCAGTTTCCAACAACAGGAATTGCGTATAGCGTGTCAGAATTGCATTCAGAACAATAGGATCAATTGCAGTACAGGGTTGACGCTTTTTGACACTTCTGATCTAAGAATAACACGTGACCAATTTCGATAAGAACACTATAAGTTCATACCATTTTCTTGTAACAGCCTTCCAGCTCTGTCAGAATTTCTTCTGGAATGTCTGAGAAACTGTCCGTTTCGAAAAATGCTGAAAGATTCAGGCAAATGAACTCAAGGCATAATTTTCTCAACTGTTCCAGAGGTATGGTGTGGCATAAATGTAGCAATCCCACGACGTTCTTGCGGGTTATGTGTCGCGAAAGCTCTCTCTGGCAAAAGTTGCGCAACGGGTCCATCAACCTAGCGAGTAAACATGATTATTAGAGTCAGAATATACAAAAGATCGGACAGACGTCAGAGCAGCAGAACAGAAGGGTAAAGATAAAACTGGCAAAGTAATATTCACTACGTTAAAGTTTTCTTTAAGCCTTTGCCGGGGTAGCTACATAAATGTACGCTGCGTAAAGATAGGAGCATCCGATCAATCTAGATCTTGATTCTTAATTTTCAGGTCTCTGTGCCTCCACGAACAGTTCGTTTTCCAGAATAGCACAAAACAATAGCTCAGAGGAAAAGAAGCACGTAGAACTGACGTTTCAGGAGCAGTTGCATATCAAACTTTCTTACCACCGGTGTAGAACCTGCTGAAGAATGACAGTGAAATACTTGTCGAAACGTCCGGGTTACGGTTTTGCTTAAACTATGCTTAAACTTTGCGTGACATTTGGCTGTCGTAAAAACTGACGACTGCTCGCCTAAAAAAGGAGTTGCCTATTCTTTTTCGTTTATCTGCCTCGGTTCCTCTGCTCCCGGGGCCTCCGCCGCTACCAATATCCCTACTACTTCTCTCCTCATTTAACTCTGAACATGGAGGTGAACTCCTTTATCCGAGAATGTGGTTAAAAACTATTAGATGACACATGATATCGAAGTAATTATATAGAAATTCTCCGTTTCGGATCATGCTCGATCCGTCACCAGAAAGAGACATAGAGCATGATCAGAAACGCTAGAGAATTGGCATATAGTAAATTCAATGTGCGATATCGTCCTCAAAGCGGCTAGTCGGATTAACCCATTGTTCGTTCATCTTCGTCAAATAAATTTCTGCAGTAATACAGGCGTGTTGTTTTAACCTGAATCTCTATTCACAGAGCATACAGTTGATTCTTGGACAGAACCCAACAATTGACAAAAAGAGAGTAGCCTGAGCGCAGTACCTTGATAGGGAAGCGCTGCGGATGACAAAATGATATAAATGTC